AATACAGTTGTCCCTTGATAATCCGACAGGTATGGGACCAAAGGTGTGTCAGATTACCAAAAGTGTCCGGATTACCGAAAATAATTACATATTTCGCATTGTTTTGCTAGCAGTAACTTACAATATTCTCTACTCCAACTGTTCGAACAGACTGCTCACATAAAACACATGAAATGTGTATCATCGAGTAAGAATTGGATGGGGAGATTCACATCGCGACATGCTTCTGTGCAAGCAGACACATAACGGGGACGGGTACCTTGACGGGAGGTGCGTCGGACTACTGAGCATGTCGGATTAAAAAACGTCAGACTATAGAGGGACAACTGTATATTTACTATATTAATTTAATCATTATAATCTGATAATATCGAGCAGTTATTGCTACTATATAAGAATTATAACTATATATATTTACATATATAGAAATCATTTAATTATATTAAATTTATTGTAATGTGACAATTTTTATTTATTGAAATGAGAGAAATAAAATTAGTAACTATAATAAATAAAATTTTTCTGATCAAATTTTCTTTACCATCAACTTGATCATTAATTTTTAATAATATATCAGTCCGTTTACAACTCATCAACACTGCCAGAATACTTCCTAATGTTGCCTTTGTATCTCTTAGATATTCAGTCATGAGTAGAATGAAAGCAGCAGAATCCTCCTATTTAAAAATAAAAATAGTAACATATTTTAAAAAGTAATTAAAAAAGATATATTTATAAATAATAAAGTACACTATATAAGTTTATGATTTTCTAGAATTTCAAGAATATATTTGCATATTAATTTCCATTATTTATAATACAGCTTTATTGAATAACAAATTTTTAATTGTTCTATAAACAGTGGCTTATGGTATTGCAGCATCTCAGCAATCAGTTTGGCTACTTTAAAATAAAAGTAAATAAAATAATGCTTGACTTCAATTAGATAAGATTACTCAATTACTTTAGTTATCTAATCTCTGAAAAACAACAGGGGACGCTTGCCTTAGTTCCTCAATCTGCTTTGAGTAGATCTATATTCTCAAAATCCTGGATATACTACTGCTATTAACTTTAAATATTTTGATTAGTTAAGATAAATATATTTTTCTTAAATAATNCTTGCCTTAGTTCCTCAATCTGCTTTGAGTAGATCTATATTCTCAAAATCCTGGATATACTACTGCTATTAACTTTAAATATTTTGATTAGTTAAGATAAATATATTTTTCTTAAATAATGCTTTAAAATCTTGCCAAAATCTTTAATAATTAATAAAACGTAAACTGAATTAAAAATAAATCTAAGTCTATATATTAATATCATCATCATCATCCTGATTACAATGATAATACATAGATAAATTTTAATAATTATCAATGTACATAACATATACATTGATATTTATTAAAATAATGAAAAAAATACAATGGCATAAATCTATATTGTTGTGACCAAAGGTGGCTAACGTATCAGCCTACTGCTCTGAGAGACTTAAGTTTGCATCTATACTGAATCCTCAAAATTTTCACAAATGGATCAGATTATAACAAACCTTCTCCTTTATGTCTAACTGCCCCACTGTAGGCTTGGTAGAATCTGTTTTGAGAGACTGTTATAACAGGGCCATGTTCAGTAATGTAGAACACCTAAGTTAGAATTCTGAGTGGCTTAGTGGGTGGAGCTGAGAATGTTCTGAGCATCACTGAATGATTATTCTGTCAGACAACTGGGCAAAATGGTGGACGAAGTTAAAATTATAATTGCAACAATTGTCGCAAAAGAATTAATGAAGCAATTATTAATTGTAATCAATGAAATGGACCATTATCTTCTGTTAAAATGTATTTGGAATCTGTTATACCGATGTATGATAATTTTACATTTCAAAGTCATTTTAGATTGAGTTAATGATTTAGAATGAGAGAATAACTTTGTAACTGTTATAATAAAATACATTTAGTCAAACGCGATTGGCCATCTTGCAAATCGTATGAAGAGACAAAAACAATGATATCATTAGTAGAAGTTAGCATAGATAAAAGAAGCTGACTGAACTAGCTAGAATTCTAGCAGTGAGTGGAGTCAAGCAGTAGTTAGAAACAAGTTTAACATCACAGCATAACTAGACTTAGCAAGAATTCTGTGTTATTGAACATGGTCCAGGTCTTAGTGCCCACAGAGTAGGAATAACTAAAAAAAAAATCTATATTATTAGTTTATTTCAATTAATAACTTACTCAAGTATTTTTAAATGAATTTATATATAGTAAACATTACAATAACGCTTCACAAATTGATTTTTCTGAGATGTTGATATCAATAACAATATAGCAAACTCTTGTATAATGTGCTCCCTTACTACTACTCATAAAATTCTAATTTTGCATTCAGAGGTATACCAGTACATTTTCTTCTTCAACTTCTAGGCCTAGGTTTAAACTTGCATAAAATTGTCTGATAATGCATGTCTTGATAACGTGATTTCCTATGTGAAACTTATCCCATGTTGTACGGGACTCCACTATACTAATTACCTTATTCAGAGAAAAGAAAGGTTTGCAACTAATCACGGGACATTGTGTAATTGCATACAAAGAGCATGCAAGACATTATTAAGTACAAAAATGTCAAAAATCTACAATAGGATTTTAACTAAAGATGACTTTTTTGCACAACAAAACTATTTCAACTTAAGAAAAACTTTTTTTGGTTAATAGAAGGGATTTTGCAGTCTGTCCACAGTGGCCAACTTGGACAATTAATCACCATTTGTGCTGTCTTTTTGGGAATCAAAATTTATGAATGGCAATTTCTAATTTTCTAAATTATTTTTGTTATTAAGAAACAAATAATACTATTTAGTGCTAACACATATGGTTATTGTGTCAAACCCAAAACTGAATACGACATATTGAATTTTTTAAATTAAAAAGTGTTTGAAACCACTGCACAAAAGTAATCTAATTATCTATGATATAGATTTATTTTGGCAATTTTAATTGGCAAGTTGGATTAAAAGACTGAATAGTTTCCTATTTTATTAAATGTTTCTGCTCTGAAGTATTGCAATAATGTTACTGCTTCTCAAGCAGTAAATAATTGTGAGACTAGCCAAGGATACTAACCAGGAGTACCACTTACACGACTCAGAATTGTGAGATTCGGTCTCGATACTTTTTATAGGAGGGCTGTTAAATATTAAATAGGATATAGATGGCGAAGTCTCTATCCAACGTCAGGATAATGACACCAGTTAATCAAATTTAGACATGCGGATTAACACGCGTTATCCTTAACTCGGGATTCGGAGGATCTACGGAAACTTGAATGAAAATGAATGTCTAATAAGAACCAAACCATTTTATAAACAAATCAAAATATTTAATAAATCAAATAATAAAAGTATACAACGATGAATCTAACCTATATCTAAATCTATCTTAACCTATCTTATTCCTACCTAACGCGTGAGAGAGTTTACATCGATCTATCAGAGTCTATATTATTTTCCCCATATTTTTCGTATCTGTTCTTCTTCCTTCTTAAAGTATTTCTCTTCTTCTATTTCTTTGACAATCTTATCGTATATTTATATGTCAATTAATCGGTCTCGTATGGCCTTATCTGTCTGGTAGGACAATCACTTGTATCGTATTCTCTTCGTATGGCAATACCTCTTCTTAACGGACTGCCTCTTAATTAATATATATCAACTCTTGCATATGGCAACCTTCTTTGTCAGACTGCCTATATCGTATGGTGGAATTCTCTTCGTTTGGCAATTCCTTTCTTCAACGGACTGCTTCAAATGGCGCAAAAACGGCCCTTTTATTTGGTCTTCCGTAAAGTATGCAAAACTCAACTCATCCTGAGTTAGCCTGGAAAAGGAAATCAACTTCCTTTCAAAAATCTGATGTTTCCTCCGTTTTTAGATAAAATCTTGTGAAAGTTTAAAATATTATTTTCTATTATTTTACATCTTTTCTCTACTCCTCTACTCTGTATTTTGATTAAAATGATCCTCCCCTGAACGATTCAGATCTCACATAATGCCCTAAAAACAAGCAGGATTTCTGTATAAAAATTTGCTACTTGTTCTAACTGATTCAGCTTCGTACATGATCCATGTAATTTGTGCTGGTTTATCAAACTAGGATAGCTCCTTTCCTATACAGTCGACCCCCCTATAAGATAGAGATACGTTCCATTCTCTAGGAATCCGCTTTCTTACGAATCCTTCCAATCACAACCCGACACGTGTCAAGTTTACGGACTACGGCTGTTTGAAAGATTTTCTTCCATAAAATTAATCGATTCTAGACTAATCCGACTCAACATTTCCAAAATACGTATATATTTTTTGGGAATAATCCGTATAAACTACGCTATAAACAAAAAATTGTAGGATTACTTACCGAGTGTCACCATTCGACATTGCCATTGCTCAACATTGTTTTCGTCGCGGAACAGCTCAGCAAAGAGCGGCCGATTTCTAACAACTTATTTTTCTGTGAAAACTTCGTAGAACTTCGGAGACATCATTAATATAAATAATTTTAATCGCCGTTGAATAAGAAATGTTTCTTTCACAAGAAATGTATAAAATTACAGTACTGTATTAGACTTACGGTACCTAATTTACATACTGACAGACGATAGTTAGCGTAAAAATCTCCGTAGCGTGGCGCCACGCTAGACGGCGGAAATTATATATTTAATTATAACAAAGTTACAATAAGTTAATATATAATTATATATACAGTACCTAATTTATATATAATTAATATATAATTATATGTACAGTACCTAATTTATATATAATTTATATAATACTGTCCAGACGATAGAAATCTCTCCGTAGCGTGGCGCTACGGACGGCGGGAAAGTAGTTCGGCTTCCCGATGACGTTTGAGGTGTTTATAGGGAACTTTTACTATTTTTTACGGATACCGGTAGCAATTTTTTCGTAGTTTTATAGGAATCGTAACTATAGGGACTGTAATTATAGGGGGGTCGACTGTAGTTGACAGATACATATCTGAATTTTTAAAAATATTTGTAAAAGCAGAGAGCAGAAGAAATATTTTTGTTGAAATCACTGGTCTTCATCTTCCACTTGAACCTGTCATTATGACTTGTGGAAAATGGTTAGAGGCAACCTTTTATTACTGCAGCAACTTTAACAAAGTTCAATCTTTCATTCAGTCCTTGGAAAATTTATAAGCAATTGAAAATGTGAAAATCTTTTAAAAAGTTTAGACTACCACAACTTTCTCATACACAATCCAACTTCAAAGTTGTAACTTCTACATGAAAATGATGGAAACGATACAACTTATTTAGAAGTTTGAAATTAAACTGAAAGGCCAGCATAAAGAGACAATTAAATATATACTAGCCAAAAATCCTAGCTGGAAAAAGACAATCCAGTATTCACAAATGATAATGGGAGATTTTGTTATTTAGTATTAAACTACCTAATTTAATTTAAAAAAACTTTTCACTCCAAAAATCAATTTTCCACTTTCTACTACTTACTACTTGTAAATGCCTTACATGCAGCTAGAATGTGTAATGTAACAGGATATATAATTTTTTTTACTGCTTTTTCTAAGTTTATTGACAGTCTACTATATATGGGTCCACTTCAAGCATCGATAGACTGTCAACAAAT